AAAATATGTCAGTGCACCGATGGCTAATCCCACTTTAAATTGGTAAAATTGGTAATAAAACTTCATAGGGATAAATACTATAGACAATGATAAGTACTCAATAATAGCTGTGGTATACTGTGGGCTGATTAAATAAACTTCTCTTCAAAAGTGGAATTTTTAGATGTTAAAATTTATTTTAAAAGTGGTCTACGTGTTGCAGGATAGGGGAAATACAGTGGCTCCACTTAATTGTTTGAAAGTTTATGAACAGTTAAAATGTCAAAAATATATATAGTAAAAGTAGAAAATGACTTCATTTTCTTTTGAAGAATACTACATTAAAATATGTATGGACTAAAACTGCTTGAAGAAGAAAGATCAATATTGTTGTTGTTCATTCGTTCAGTCGTCTCCGACTCTTCGTGACCTCATGGACCAGCCCACGCCAGAGCTCCCTGTCGGCCGTCACCACCCCCAGCTCCTTCAAGGTCAATCCAGTCCCTTCAAGGATGCCATCCATCCATCTTGCCCTTGGTCAGCCCCTCTTCCTTTTGCCTTCCACTTTCCCCAGCATAATTGTCTTCTCTAGGTTTGCCTGTCTCCTCATGATGTGGCCAAAGTACTTCAACTTTGTCTCTAGTATCTTTCCCTCCAATGAGCAGTCGGGCTTTATTTCCTGGAGGATGGACTGGTTGGATCTTCTCGCAGTCCAAGGCACTCTCAGCACTTTCCTCCAACACCACAGTTCAAAAGCATCGATCTTCCTTCGCTCAGCCTTCCCTAAGGTCCAGCTCTCACATCCGTAGGTGACTACAGGGAATACCATGGCTTTGACTAGGCGGATCTTTGTTGCAGTCTGATGTCTCTACTCTTCACTATTTTATCGAGACTGGACATTGCTCTCCTCCCAAGAAGTAAGCGTCTTCTGATTTCCTGGCCACAGTCTGCATCTGCAGTAATCTTTGCCCCTAGAAATACAAAGTCTGTCACGGCCTCCACGGTTTCTTCTTCTATTTTCCAGTTGTCAATCATTCTTGTTGCCATAATCTTGGTTTTTTTGACGTTTAGCTGCAACCCGGCTTTTGCGCTTTCTTCTTTCACCTTGATTAGAAGGCTCCTCAGCTCCTCCTCGCTTTCGGCCATCAGAGTGGTGTCATCTGCATATCTGAGGTTGTTAATGTTTCTTCCAGCAATTTTCACCCCAGCCTTGCATTCATCCAGCCCCGCACATCGCATGATGTGTTCTGCATACAAGTTAAAAAGGTTGGGTGAGAGGATGCAGCCTTGCCGTACGCCTTTCCCAATCTTGAACCAGTCTGTTGTTCCGTGGTCAGTTCTGACTGTTGCTACTTGGTCCTTGTACAGATTCCTCAGGAGAGAGACAAGGTGGCTTGGGATGCCCATCCCACTAAGAACTTGCCACAATTTATTATGATCCACACAGTCAAAGGCTTTGGAATAGTCAATGAAGCAGAAATAGATATTTTTTGAAACTCCCTGCCTTTCTCTATTATCCAGCAGATATTGGCAATTTGGTCTCTCGTTCCTCTGCCTTTTCTAAACCCAGCTTGAACATCTGGCAACTCTCGCTCCATGTATTGCTGGAGTCTTCCTTGCAGGATCTTGAGCATTACCTTACTGGCATGAGAAATAAGGGCCACTGTACGGAAGTTTGAGCAGTCTTTCGCATTTCCCTTTTTTGGTATGGGGATATAAGTTGATTTTTCCAGTCTGATGGCCATTCTTGTGTTTTCCATATTTGCTGGCATATGGCATGCATCACCTTGACAGCATAATCTTTTAAGATTTTAAACAGTTCAGCTGGGATCCCGTCGTCTCCTGCTGCCTTGTTGTTAGCAATGCTTCTTAAGGCCCATTCAACCTCACTCCTCAGGATGTCTGGTTCTAATTCATTCACCACACCGTCAAAACTATCCTCAATATTATTATCCTTCCTATACAGATCTTCTGTATAGTCTCGCCACCTTCTCTTGATCTCTTCAGCTTCTGTTAGGTCCCTGCCATCTTTGTTTCTTATCATACCAATTTTTGCATGAAATTTACCTCCAATGTTTCTAATTTTCTGGAAGAGGTCTCTTGTCCTTCCTATTCTGTTGTCTTCTTCCACTTCCATGCATTGCTTATTTAAAAATAGTTCCTTATCTCTTCTGGCTAACCTCTGGAATTGCGCATTTAACTGGGCATATCTCCCTTATCCCTGTTTCCTTTTGCTTTCCTCCTTTCTTGGGCTACTTCCAGTGTCTCAGCAGACAACCATTTTGCCTTCTTGGTTTTCTTTTTCTTTGGGACGTACTTTGTTGCCGCCTCCTGAACAATGTCGCGGACTTCTGTCCATAGTTCTTGTGGGACTCTGTTTACTAAATCTAGTCCTTCAAATCTGTTCTTCACTTCCACTGTATATTCGCTAGGAATGTAGTGAGATCATATCTAACTGGTCTGTGTATTTTCCCTGATCTCTTTAGTTTTATTCTAAATTGGCAATAAGAAGTTCGTGATCTGAGCTACAGTCAGGCCCAGGTCTTGTTTTCACCGACTGGATGGATGTCCGCCACCTTTGGCTGCAAAGGATGTAGTCAATCTGATTTCGGTGTTGACCATCTGGTGAGGTCCATGTATAAAGCCGTCTTTTAGGTTGTTGGAAGAGAGTATTCGTTATACACAGCGAGTTTTCCTGGCAAAATTCTATCAGCCTGCGTCCCGCTTCATTTTGTTCTCCCAGACCATGCTTGCCTGTGATCACTGTTGTCATTTGACTTCCCACCTTGGCATTCCAGTCTCCTGTAATGAAAATAATGTCTCTTTTTGGTGTATTATCCAGTAGGTTCTGCAGATCCTCATAGAACTGATCTACTTCTGCTTCTTCAGCAGCTGTGGTTGGGCGTATATTTGGATCACTGTAATGTTGAAAGGCTTTCCTTGCACTCGAATTGAGATCATTCTGTCATTTTTTGGGTTGTATCCAAGCACCGCTTTAGCGAATTTCTTATTAATTATGAAGGCTACTCCATTTCTTCGATGTTCCTCTTGTCCGCAGTAGTAGATCTGGTGGCCATCTGATGTGAAGTGGCCCATTCCAGTCCATTTCAGTTCGCTGACCCCCAGAATGTCTATCTTTAGTCTTGACATCTCACCAATAACAACATCCAATTTGCCCTGGCTCATAGATCTTACATTCCAGGTTCCTATGGTGTGTTGATCTTTAGAGCATCGGATTCGTCGTTCACCTCCAGTACCGTCGGCCGCTAGCCTTCCTTTCGGCTTTGAGCTAGCTGCGTCATCACATCTGGAGCTAGTTGAACTTATCCTCTGCTCCTCCCCAGTAGCATTTTGGCCATCTTCCGACCTGGGAGTCCCATCTTCCAATGGCATACCGACATATCTCTGGTTGTACTGGTCCATTTAGTTTTCTTGGCAAGGATACTGGAGTGGTTTGCCATTGCCTTCCCCAGGGATCACGCTTGGTCTGACCTCTCTGCCACAACCGTCCCGTCTTGGGTGTCCCTTCACGGTTTCGCTCATGACATCATTGAGGTGCTCAAGCTCCAGCGCCCCGACAAGGCGGTGATCCTTTGCTGGAGTATCAATATTAATGACAGTTTAATCAGATAAATATTGTCTGAAATATTCATATGTGTACAATTAAAATTAAAATACTAATGATTTCAATGTATCCATTTTGTTCTTTGTAGCTAGGGACATGTCACTAATCATTGATTGGATTGCTGGATTTCTGCATTATAGTTACATTTCCTAGCAGTGGGCCAATTTTCAGCTTGAAAATTGCGATAGCTATTCTTGATGAATTGACTCGCTTGTTAGAATCAGCTTTGTTAATAGTGGTTCTTAATGGTTCTTAAGAAGAGACATTAAAAAAGAAAAAGAACAAACAAGCGTCTCAAGCTCTGAGGATTGCTTGGGAAGTACCCCCACTGGAGCATTGGAACGCACCAAAATACCTGGGAGTCATTCTGGACCGTGCTCTGACTTATAAGAAGCACTGCTTGAATGTTAAGCAAAAAGTAGGTGCTCGAAACAATATCTTACCAAAGCTGACTGGCACAGCTTGGGGATCACAACCAGATACAGTGAAGACATCTGCCCTCGCGCTTTGCTACTCTGCTGCTGATTACATGTGCCCAGTGTGGAATACATTGCACCGTGTTAAAACAGTGGATGTGGCTCTTAATTATACTGTTTAGCTGGTATTGCACCACATGACACCCGTAGCAGCCAATAATGAAAGGACCAAGGCAGTGACATATTTGGCCCATATCAGCCAGCATGACAACGACTTAAATCAAGAAGCAGCTTCCTAAGATCTATAGAGATACTCGCAGGAACACCTCAGCAAGCGAGAATCCAAAAGTTGCAGGTTATTACCCAAAACCTTAATCAGTGGCTGAGACTGGATGAGAAACTCCTTCCTGGGCACACAGAAGATTGGGTGACCTGGAAGGTGCTGAACAGGCTGTATTCTGGCACCACAAGATGCAGAGCTAACCTTAAGAAATGGGGCTATAAAGTGGAGTCTACGACATGCAAGTGTGGAGAAGAGCAAACCACAGACCACCTATTACAATGCAACCTGAACCCTGCCACATGCGCAATGGAGGTCCTTCTCAGAGTGACACCAGAGGCACTCCAAGTGGCCAGCGTCTGGTCAAAGGACATATAGTATAATGCCAAGGGTTTTTTTTTAACTTTGTGTTTTTAAATGCATTTTAACTGCATCCTCAACTCACTCCTGACATAATAAATAAAAGTCTCTTATACTCTGCATCTAACATATCAACTAATATTTGGAAATTTAAAATGATAAATCAGTTTTAAAATATTGTTGCTTTGATTCTAGTGAGTGAGAGCTTAAGCAATCCATTATCATTACAGTTGGCATATTTGAATATACTTATGGACCCTAAATTGTGCAACACTGGCATGAATACTTTGGATTATCTGGATGTTTAATTAATACTTTGTTTTGTTTGTGTCATTTTCAGGTAGAGATCGAGAAGCTGGACTATCATCATTATTTGCCACTATTTTTTGATGGCCTATGTGAAATGCAATTTCCCTATGAGTTTTTTGCTCGGCAAGGCATCCATGATATGCTGGAGCATGGGGGAAACAAGATCCTTCCTGTCATTCCTCAGCTCATTATGCCAATAAAAAGTAAGTGAATATGTGGAGTGAAGCTAACCCCAATGTTCAGTCGCCTAATGTTTTGACAAGCTGCTAATTATGCATTAAAACATGACAGATTTTATATTCCAGCTGAAGGTGGCAACTTATTTTCACTGGTGAGGTAAAACACCAGAATCCTTCTGTCTTCAAATATATATTTGGTGGTCTAGAACTATAGAACTGGACTGACTGGCTTGTCTTGTCTTGCACTAGCATGCCAGTTTTTCTTCTCATCTTACCCAACTAAATTGTTCAGCAAATTAAAGCAAAACTGCATAGCAAAACAGATTTCAGCAGCCTTGATTTCATTTCCTAGTAATTATTTGTGTAGTATTTTTAAAGTGCTCTTCCCCCTAACAACCCCCCCCCAGCATAATTATGATACCTTCCCGTCTTAAAATCAGCATCAACCCTGAATTCACACTTAATCATTGCATTGCATCTTCCTCTGTTCCTTCCTGAGTTAACCAACCATAGGTTTCCATTGCATCCGAACAGAAGAAACTAAGGAAGAATTCAAGTAGGATTTTTTGAGGACCTGGTAAAATGAGTCCCTTGTCCTACACACTACACACCCATTTTATACTTGCAATCCCATGGTTCTACTTGCTTAAGTATTTAAATTAATGCAAAGATGTTTTTTCTAAAATAATCCAATTTTTCAAATCTAGCTCTCTGCTTCTCTAAGATTTTCCAGATAAGCATTATATCACACAGCCACAAGGACAGTGCTAGCTGCAGGAAAAGCACAGTCAAAGTATTCCTGACAGGTGGTCATCCAGCTTCTGTTTAAAAGTTTCTACAACACTTTGAAGCAGAGATTTACACTGCTGAACAGCTCGTGCAGTCAGGAAGTTCTTCCTAATGTTCAAGTGGAACCTCCTTTCCCGCAATTTGAAACTATTGCTCCTAATCCTAGTTTCAAGGGCAGCAGGTCCCACCTCTGAACCCTAGAGGAACATGAGTCTTCCCGGCTACATTTCAGAGAGTGTTTGTCTAAGTTCTATCAATCAATCAAAGCTTTATTACAGTCCAAAGACCCAAATAGCTCAGCAGTAAAAGGTACACAAAATGCAAACAGATTAGCAAACCGCTTAAACTGATTAAAATGCAAGATGCCACACTATACAAGATGCATAGGAGTGAGAATACTGCAAATAAATGCAAAGTCAAGTTTCAGCCTGAGTGTAATACACAAAGTTGTCTTATCCTGGCTACCTCGGAGAGAAACAGAGCTTTCCAAACATTTCATGTTGGTGACTTTTTTTAAACATGCATAATTCAGTGACACAGTAATTCAGTTTTACTGGCAATGCATAGGTTAAATGAACCCCTCAAAAGTGGTTTGGACATAATCATAAATTGTAGTAATGAAATGAACTAATTTTTGTATCTATCTTACTTTAAATTGTTATTAGGTATGTAATATTTCTTAGCTGCAAAAATAGCTTCAGTAGTTCTTGCAAGAAGTGGAATTTTTTACATTATCATTCACATCATGCACTACTTTTGGAAGACACTACTACCAGACATATTCAAAAGAAGGCATCTGTATATAAGAGTGTGTGGCCTTAATCTTGGGATGAACTGGGTTTGAATATCCCAAATCCTCCCGGGATTAAGGCCCTTAGTCCCAGTGAAGTGTGAATAAGATCAATCATTACATTTGTTTACCTGGTAGTAAGCTATGTAGACATTAGGGCTGGGCGGTTTCGTTTCGTTAATTCGTAATTCGTTAATAATTTGTTAATTTTTTCAATTACAAAACGATAACGAACCATTCTGGAGCAATTATTAAAAAAAATGAATTTTCAAAAACGTTTTGTAAATGCTTCGTATTTCGATATTGTATTCGTTTCGTTATTGTTTTGAGGTCGTTTCGTTATTATTTCCGCATGTCTGGGCCAGTTTTATGGTTTAATTAGTGAAAAAAAATTATAATATCACACCAACAGTCAACAACAGAGGGAGAGGGAAGCTTCAGAAGGTTTTGGAGGTTTTTTAGCGTATTTCGCGGTCGCGTCCGCCATTAACGAATCGATTCGTTATTGTTTCGAAATCGATTCGTTAATTTTTTACCATTTACAAAATTTCGTAAATATCGAACTTTTTAAAAGGAAAATTTTGTAATTATTTTAAATATCGAAACAAAAAACCCCAAATACAAATCGATTTTAGAAACAAATTTTTCCGTTGTTACCCAGGCCTAGTAGACATGTATAACACTGTGTCATTAGCATAAAATCCAGTTAACAGGCATATAAATCTGTAGTTACAACTTGTGGTAAACAATGAAATGGGCATGGCTTTATTTAGCACCAAGTTATTTCTTAACTCAAGCCTCATTATTCTGTATTGATAATGTACAATAACTGTTTTCTGCTTTAATTCTCAAGAATTCTATATTCCTTTTTAAAAGCTTTTTTCATTCTAAATTTCAACATAAATACATTTAAAGATGAAAGCAGAATTGAAGAAAAAACTAAGCTTTTATACTATTTTTTCATCTGTGTCATCATCATGTTCATGTTCATGTTAAAAGCTTTCAATAAGAATCCATATTGTAGAACTCAACCATATTCCCCTGCGTAAATATCAGTTTATTCCAAAAAGATGACATTATTAGTTTTACAGTATTTGACATCTTGGAGAAAGACAGATTCCTCTAAGCTGTCCAGTAAAAAACATCAGCTCAGATTGGTTTCTGTCTCTTTACCCACTAGATGTCAAAACCATTACTCAAGGGTACAAAAGACTTTTAAATGATCTAGAACAACTAGAGCAAAAGAAAAGATAGATGCAAGTGAAACTACTTTGGTTTGGACATACTCACAAACACTAAAATAAGGAGGAGAAATCAATTTTTCCCTTTTATATTCCACAAATAGCTGTATTTACTACTGAATATTCCTGTGAAATATTTTGTTCTCTGGCTGTTCCTTTCTATTAATAGTTTGATGTGGCCTTAAGTAGAACATCTGTGACTTCTCACTGACAAAAAAAGATACAAGGGACAATTGTATATGTATATAATGCTAAACATGAAGTCTGTGTACCTACATAGTAATGTGAAGAGTCATCTGTGTGTCTTTCTAAAACTCAGTCTGATCCTTTTCTGAAAAGAGACAACAACATCGCCATCAGCAGCAAAATGCCTTCTTTGCATATGTGAGACACTACATTCAATATTATACCGTTACTGTCAGTATTGTCAGATTAGCAAACTAGAATATAAATTTTAATTCAGTGCCATGATGATAAAACTACAGATTCATCTTGTAATCTTGTCTGCTATAAAATGGAAACTATTCAAGCAACATTCAGTGACATGAAAAGATGTGGAATTCTACTATGAAATGAAGTTATGTAGAAATTTATCTTGACCAGTATAAACTGAAGTGATTTGGCTGAAGTAAAGAAAGAAATCCTTAAGTCTCCTGTAACAGGCCCTGAATACATTTTGCCCTGTTACCTTGCAAAGCCAATGGCTGACTTAATTGAAGTAGTGTTGTTTGGGTCAAACCCTTCATGATTGGTTCAGATTCAGGTGGCAGGGTAGCAGCTCAATTCAACCTTCCAATTCAACCTTCCAAGCTTATCCATAAGGATAAGCTCTTTGATTATTCTTTAGTAAATTATTATTACACTTTCATTCAGTCTGAATTGTAAAAACATTTTAAGGATAACACTTTTTCCATCCCCCCACCCCAAATTTTCAAACTACTTTTAGGAATATTGAGTATGTCAAAATGCATTTCAAATCTTTCCTCTCTTACCTTTGACTCTTTGCAGGAGCCGCCTTCTCTTTTTTAAAGATGTGGTTTTGCGCTCTAGTGTAGCACAACTCCCCTTGGCAATTGCTTTCTAGTGGCTACCACTCTCCTTTTCCTGTACTCAACTTCCAACAAAGAACAACAGTGGAAGGGAAAGGGCAGCTGCTGAGAAGCAACTGTGGTGTGTAGGGGCAATCCAGTAATATTGAAAGAAGGAGAAAGGGGAAAAAAAACTATGGGGTGAAGAGTCCTCCAGAATCTCCATGGCTCATTCAGGCCCAAAATGCAGGGCCTGTCTCACTTCTACAGGAGGCATCTAAACAACACCTCTGGTAAAAAGCAAATTAATGTGGGTTTTACCAGTTTACTCCACATTAAACACTTCAACAAATCCAGGCCTTACTGAAAGGCCCAGGGATGTTGGACCTGTGGGGACTGACTGTCTGCTATTCCCATAGCCATGTCTTCTGGCTCCATAAAGCCTGGAGAAGTAGAATGTCACCCATCCCCTTCCCTCCAGCCCCTCATTTAAGCCCCAAAACTTACCGGCGAGGCTTGCTGGCAATGCAGTACTTTCCCTACAGTCCTCCTGGCATAAGAAAATAGTGTGTCAGTCGATGCGGGGGATTTGACTTGGGATGCCATGTAGACACACACACACACGGAAAGCCTGGGGTGGGGGTAGCAACTAGAACCCATGTGGAAGTGGATTATTTTAACCAAATTTCCATGCAGGTTTTAGCTATATCTGGAAGTTTCTCATGTCATTCCTAATTTGCCTTACTTTCAAGACAAACACTTTCACCTGGTGATAGCTGGTTGATTTAGCTGTTTGGTTGCTTGCTTGTTCTAGCTGTTTGAACAATTGCCAGTGTGTATGTGGTGAAAAACACTACTTATGGAGTATGGGATTATTCTAGGAAGAGCTGTCATGATTGCACTAAGGTAGGGAGCACCCAATGTTGGGGTTTAAGAATGGGAATACAATTTCTGGTAGTGATGGTGTCATCAAACTAGCACAGACTGCTTTTGATTGAGAATTGACCTGAGCACTGTCACTGGAATCTAATGTCTAAAGAGAATAATTTATGCAACAGAAGCAGATACCTTTCACAGTTCATACCAATCTCCTTAGTAGTGCCCTATGACTGCAGCCACCCTGCCTTTACTCTAGCATTGATAGTGTGCCTTGCTTTGTTTAATAAAGTGCCTGCTTCTCTATTTTTTTCTCTCAACAATAATTCTGTATTAGGAAAATATATGTGTCACCAGCTTCTGGCCCCCTTTCAGGCCCTGGCATCTATGATGTGTGGAATGTTGTAATGAGTTTTTAATATTTATGTGTTATTTTAAAATGTTATTCACCTTCGATCCCCTCCTACACTTTAAGCATTAGAACTGTTACATAGCTTTGTAAGTGGGATTACAATTGTCCACTGAGAATGATGGCATTTACACCCTGATTTCCATTCGCTTTGCATATGTGTGGAGACCTGGCAAAGATTAAAACCTATGATTTGTGGCATTTGCTCCCAAGCTGCATAATGTAGGAAGTGGATACCAATAATGTGAAGGCTTTTGCTTTCAAATTATACATTTGGAAATATGATTTTTCTTGAAAAAACAAAACAGAATACAATATTCTTTGCCTGTTTTATTTTTGTTCCTGAAATCCAAAATGGCACAGAGACAAAAGATATATTGAAAGCAATGACCACATTAAGCTGCCTTAGAGTACACAAAAATCCCTCAAGAAGGCAAGATAGAATCTGTAGTTATCAGATTTGTTTGTTTTCTGAAGAATCTTACGTTATTTTCTATGTAAACAATTATCTCATTGTGCTGGCATCTCAGAATAGTTGGAATTGTTAATTGAAATGAATAAAATTATTGCCAGGCAAACAGCTACAAACAGGCTAGTTGTTGCACTAGAATGTCTCTGTAGTCAACCTTTGTGGGCTGCTTTTGCTATTTTATTACTTCCAATGGTGCAGCGTGATGTCTCTCTCTTTCTTTGTCTTTCCCTCTTTCTTTCTTTCCTTCCATCTTTTTTTCCCTCTCCCCCTCCCCTCCCCTCCCCTTTCCTTTCCTTTTTTTTTTTTGAACCAGTAGCATAGGCAACAAGAAGGAATAATGAGCTGCCTTCTTGGGGTTAGTGAGGAGTCAGCACAAATTGTGGGAACAAATAACAGTCAGACAAGGCAGTGTTTTATAACATTGGGGCTGCAATCCATCTTTGAGTTCCTTCAAAGTTGGGCTAATAAAGGCCCACTTACAATCCCCAGCAGAGTACAGTTTAATTAAATTTGTCCATTAAAGGATTTCTCCTGCTCTATTATACATTCTTGAAATTAATTCTAATGTTTTCTACTTGTCTCTTTTTGTTTATCCAAGATGCGCTGAACCTTCGAAACCGGCAGGTCATCTGCATCACACTCAAAGTCCTCCAGCACTTGGTTCTGTCTGCTGACATGGTGGGGGAAGCCCTAGTGCCCTATTATCGTCAGATTCTCCCCATTTTTAACATCTTTAAGAATAAGAATGGTGAGTGGTCCCAGCAGTTCTGTGTCTTGCAGTCCCTCTAGCAAAGAGGGGCTGAAAGCAGGGTTAATTAACAATAGTGTTACAATTTACTTTTGCACATAAACTCAAATATATTTTACATCATCTCCTCTGTTATCCCTCAGAGATGCAACATTATTAACAATTTAATTTATTGCTCCTTATGCACATAGTTTATTCAACACATTACAGAAGCACTACAGAATTTCTAGTTTTTTAGTAATAGATTATACAATTTTGTAGTATTCACTTACAAACATTGATTGCATCCCTACCCTGCACCTTTTCAACAGACAAGATGAAGACACATATTTTGAACAGGCTTTGAATTTTATGCTTTTCACCTCAGATTTTTAATTGTTCATTTGGGTATTAGTTGTTCTGACATCTTTATATTTCTGTCATTACAAAGTTCTACTCAACAGTTTTGGGTTGATGGTCTGCAGTTATACAGTTTTAATGATGAAGGATATTGTATGCACCATGTTTCCCCGAAAATAAGATGTACCTATAAAATAAGCCATAGCAGGATTTCTAAGCATTTGCGCAATACAAGTCATATCCCGAAAATAAGACATAGTGATAGGCGTGGCTATGCAGGGTATCGCCGCAGAGCGGTAAAGAAGACAGGCAGCCCTTCTCATCTGCCGCATTGTGACAGTGGCTATCCCGGCAGTGACTGGAGAGATGCAGGCAGCCCCATCAACAAAGTCAGGTCCCAGTCATTTCGTGTATGCTGCAAGCTGAGGTATAGAGGAAGACATAGACAGTGAAAGTAAAAGTCTCCTCAGTGAAGTGAGGAGCAGGACGCTCTGCTTTAAATATTGTGTGTCCTCGAGGGAAGAAGACAATGACTCAACTATACTTGAATAAATGTAGATTGTTGTACCATACTTAATTTTATTAAGACATCCCTTGAAAATAAGTGTGTCTTCTTGAGGAAAAATAAATATAGACAGTATCTTATTTTCAGGGAATTTTCAGCATTTTCAGTATCTCAAAATGCTAGTGTTTTCCTTATTCTAACTCTTTTAAACTGAAATCTGTTTTATGATGGATAAGCATATAAACTTTGCATCCCTGCATCAGGTTCCATTCCTTCTATGATATTATTTCTGAGAATTTTTAACGGTTTATTGTCTGATCACTTTTGAAGTATCTTGCTTAAAAATTTCTTTCATATTATCTTCATTTTTATAGATTGGTGCAATTTAATCTAGTTCAGTTGTTGAGCACCATACTAATAAAGATTGTGTGATTCATGGCATGAGCATGTAATTCCTGGTTTCAGTAACATGGCCTTGCTTACTGGTTATCCTTTTCATTCATATTGACAAACACTATACCTTATTGATTTTGCTTAGAGCTTACTTCATGGGCAATAAAGAATATTCGATACAGTGACAGTAATCATTGCCTGGGAAGGAAAAGGGCAGAGATGTTAGATAACAAACAATTAAAATATCTGCTGTCCTTTAAAGAACATGTTAGCATGTGGTAAGCTGGTGACTTATGCTGTTCATGTATTTTCTTTGACATAAATGGAATTCAAATGAAAGCGATTTTTTCCTCATTTACAAGGGTGGCCCCCACAGTTCTGTGCATAACTTTCTTTTCATGTATGTTTTCTATCGTTATTTCTAAACATTTAATGAAAAATAACTTCAGATATTAAAATATACAGTCAATATGCCCCGCCTCCCCCCCTGAAACCTATTATGAGATCATTGTATTTTAAAGATACACACACACACACACACACACACGTATGGATGTATGTATGTGTGTGTGTTGATTCAAGTCCAATATAACCCTGACATATCCTGTATTGGTCAGTAAATTAAAACAGTGAAGAAAGTAATTTGAATGTTAACCTCTATAGTAGCTATAACTCTTCTGTGTTTCATTACATTGTTTGTTGGTTCTCTTGCTCAACGAGAACCCAATAGTTATTATTCCTAACGGGTTTTTTTTAAATGGCAGTGGGACACCTATCATTTTAATTGATTTCTTTTTTTAACTATTATATATAAATTTAAATTTAAATATTTTCTTGATAACATAAAACAAAGGGAGGGGAGCATAAAGGAAAGTGTCTCGGAATGGGAAAAGGGGCGCGCCTGGAGTGTGGGAATAGGGAAGGGTATTTAGTTAACTTCCAATCCTCTACATCGTGGTGTTTAACTCTATATTTTTCTGATGCTTCTTACTTCCTACTTCCTCTTCCTTTCTGTAATCCAAAGGGTTTTCCCTTCTCTAAGTAAATTCACAATAGCATCTTCATTTTTCTTGTTCCATATATTTAATAAATAAAGTCCAGTCCATGTCTTTTTTGTAATTGTTTTCTCAGTGTGACAGTTGTTGTGTTAATTTATCTATGCTCATGATTTCCACCATCTTTATTAACCATTCCTTTGTTGTTGGAATTTCTCTTGCACCAATTGATTTCTTGCTTGCAGTTAATCTCTGAGGCTGAGAGAGCACTTGCCCAAGTTCACAGAGTGCAAGTTTACATGACCAAACTGGGATTTGATCCCTTGCTTCCTCCTGAGTTCTTGTCTAACACCAAAACCAATAGACTAATTTAAGGCCCCTTCTACATTGTCATATAACCCAAATTATCCTCTTTGAAGTAGATTATATGGCAGTGTAGGCTCATATAATGCAGTTCAAAGCAGGTAATATATATTATCTGCTTTTATTATCTGGGTTATATAGCAGTGTAGAAGGGGTCTAGGACTCTCTCTCTTGAAGCTTACACTATACTGTAATTTGTTTTAACTGTACAAAGTGCTTTTTAAAACGAATAGCACAATGACAAAAGACATTTTTAAAAATATTTTAAAGTGTTGTGGTTTACCTGATAGATTCTTGTTGTGTTATTCCTATTCTAAATGGAATTTAATGGAGGTGCCTAAAGTAAATGAATGCATTAAAAAGAATTAGAGTGCATGTTATGCTTTTTAGGCAGAAAACAGAATTTATGACAGAGGACCGAAGGGAATTTTTAAAGCTAGGCACAATGCACTGTCTTGTGTTGTGTTGTATGGATATTTGAATGAGCAGAGGGGTTAGAAATTAGTTTGATAAGTGTTAGACACATATCAGGCAAATATTTTTTGCATAACATAGTAAGGTAAGTGAAAATGCTGTTGATCTCCTTTAATGCTCATATGCTGTCAAACAAAAGCAATCTTAATGATTTTTATGTGCATTATGAAGCAAAAATATTTTCTTGTTATCCATTTATCTTATTCAGTAATAATCAATAACAGCTTCTGAACCTCTGTGCAGATTAAATGGTGCAGGATATTTTTAAAACATAAGCCTGTCAATGTCAGCAACATAGAGAAAGGCACAGAATAAATATAAATCACTTTAATTATTCTGATCTATTTACATGTGTTTCTGTACTATGCAGATATAGCTGCTTGATATGCTTTAAATCACCATGATTCCATTTAGAAATCCTAGGATTTGTTCAGTTCCTATGAATTTTCTTCTTAAAAGCTCTATCACTTGCTTCTTCTACACTGCCATATAAAATCCAGATTGTCTGCTTTGAACTGGATTATATGGCAGTGTGGACTCATATAATCCAGATCAAAGCAGATAGTGCATTATCTGCTTTGAGATGGGGCCACTATAGCATTGTCAAAGAGTACCTCAAATCTTTAGAGAAAGAAAAACCTAAGTATTTTACCAATCTGCAAATTCCAGGATTCTGTGGGATGGAGTTGTGGAAGTTACAGTGCAATCCAACTGTTTTAATAAAGTAGTGCACATTTTTTTCTGAGGTGCTGAAAGACACACTGTTTTCTGAGGCCCCTTCTATACTGCCATATAATCCAGATGATCAAAGAAGGTAATCCACATTATCTGCTTTGAATTGGATGATATGCGTCTATATTGCCATATATTCCAGATCAAAACAGATAATTTGGATTTTATATGGCAGTGTGGAAGGGGCCCTAGGCCCTTTCTACACATCTGTATAAAATCCAGATTATCTGCTTTGAACTGGATTATATGGCAGTGTGACATTTATCTGCACAATTTTAATTTTTAGTATAAATGGGGTGCTGTTTAGAAGGGCCCTTATATAATCCAGTTCAAAGCAGATAATCTGGTATCGATCCTGGGATATAGGGCAGTATAGATCCAACCTCAGATGTAATCTTAGATATTTCTAGCTTGCCATCTGATGAAAGGATTATTTGATAAAATAACACATGATTTTTGTTTGCCTATGAATATTTCTAGATTTTAAAATTCCAAGTTCATCAGATTTTTATTTATTGTGTCATCAGCAACCATTGTATTACAATTCTAACAGAGCAAAACAAACACACAGATTAAAAAGGAAAAGGAAAAAAAACACACAGATTTTGCAAATTTGGTAGTTGGTTAAATGTCCTTTGACCAGTATCTGGCCACTTGGAGTGCCTCTGGGGTTGCCGCAAGAAGGTCCTCCATTGTGCATGTGGCAGGGCTCAGGGTGCATTGCAGCAGGTGGTCAGTGGTTTGTTCTTCTCCACACTCGCATGTTGTGGATTCCACTTTGTAGCCCCATTTCTTGAGGTTGGCTCTGCATCTCGTTGTGCCAGAGCGCAGTCTGTTCAGCGCCTTCCAAGTCGCCCAGTCTTCTGTGTGCCCAGGGGGGACTCTCTCATCTGGTATCACCCATGATTGAGGTGCTGGGTTTGGCCTGCCACTTTTGGACTCTCGCTTGCTGGGGTGTTCCAGCGAGTGTCTCTGTAGATCTAAGAAAACTATGTCTTGATTTAAGTCGTTGACGTGCTGGCTGATACCCAAACAGGGGATGAGCTGGAGATGTCTTTGCCTTGGTCCTTTCACTATTGGCTGCTACTTCCCGGCGGATGTCAGGTGGTGCAATACCGGCTAAGCAGTGTAATTTCTCCAGTGGTGTGGGGCGCAGACACCCTGTGATAATGCGGCATGTCTCATTAAGAGCCACATCC